TAATCCAGAAGTGCCTGATACAGAGAAGGATACACAACAGATGTTGAAGGAATTGTTTGACAGCCCAGTCCACCAATCACTTCCTGTCTTTGTAGCACAGAAGTAGCTTCTGGTGCTGCAATAACCCTACCAAGTCAAACGTGGATGGTGGTCTTCTCCAAGGTTTAAATGGCCTGGAGAGTGACCCTTTCAGTTTACTTCAGAATCAGTCTAATCAGCAAATGCAAAATATGTTCCTCCCATCACAGCTGCTTGACTTTGGCATGCAGAGTTGGCAACAAAACACCGCTCATAATACACCCAACCACCTGGAGTTGCACAGGCTAATGTAAGCAACCTAAGGGTTCATCTCCAGCTAATTCCTTGTCACAATCCAGGCATACTGCAGGTGGAGCCCATTCCGCTCTTCCTTGAATGCAGCGCAGAAGCAAGAAGCTAGCAAGTTAGATTGGTATAAGTGTTTCAGGATATTGACCCACTTGCTGACCCAGCAAATGCAATCTTCAGCCAAAGCCTCTTCATGATGACAAGAAATGCTAGTTCTTTGAGTTGTTTTATAGGATATATTTTTCACTTACGAAGAAGAGAATTTATTCTCACATGATTAACTTAGAATTTGCCATTTGGATTTATCAAAATTATTTGTCCTACATTTAAGTGACAGAGATATTATTCAGAATTATATTTTCATTCCATGTGGAAATGCTGCTCTGTAGGTAGATGTAAGAAAGTCCATAAAACTGTTCTGATAAACTTGATAGCATCAGAGAACAGTTCCTGTTGGCATATATTTCCTAATATGGTATGTTCATATTTTAAGGCTTCCAGGTTGATTTTTTAGTCTGGTGCAATGATAATTTCCCCCACTAGTCCTTTTAACCAAAACATGATTGGTCAGCTTTCTAGTCATTTACAGTATACACAGTATAAATGTATTACCTATCTGAAGTTATTGCAAATGGAAGACTTTGATAGACAGTGCTGGGGATATAACAGTACTTTCAAGGAATTAGTACCTGGTAGTATGTAATATTTTTACTTTGAGGCCAGTATGATTTTTTTCTCCTTTTGAAAGAAAAATGATGTTGCAAATACCCTTTTTTTGTACTTCTTTTAAACAATTTACCTTTATTAGCTACTTTTACTTGCAGGTTCCTTTACCAAGCATTTTTCAGTCATACCATTTGTTATGTATGCTTATAGGTGTCCTCAGTAAATATGTGTTTTAACATGAAGATGTGGGTCTTGTATATCAAGAGGATTATTGGAGAGGATAGATGGAAAAACAGATGAAAGTAAGTTATGTAGACTGGCTTATTAGAAGCTCTCATAGCCATCTTGCATTTGCCTATCAATTGATTTTGCTACCAAATCAATAGATTTGTTATACTGACAGTGTCTTCCTTATTCTGATTCTGCCTATATTCATAAAATCACAGTGACAGTTTCTAGATTTGGAAGGTGACTGTCTTTTAGAAGTACCAGTTCCTCACAATAAATTAATCACTATGTTTATAGACTTGAATCACACTCTCTTAACCCCCACAAGTTTGGCCTCAATACAAGCCTCAGAACTTTGAAACTTGTGTAATGGTTCATATACTGATGTGGCTGCCATGTTCATGTTATTATGTGATCTGAATCAGATATCATGGTTAGAGGGTAATTGGAGAAAGGAATTATGTTTTGATGCTATGCTTTCTTTGCCTGTGCTTATGTAAAGTTATCTCACGTGTTCTCAAGCTAACTATACCAATGTTTATTACCAAATGATACAGACTTTTCTGAACATAATTTCTTAATCACAAAGAAAAAGCTTTGTTGCTACATCAGCAGCTTGACCCTTAGGTGCAATATTCCAATTTTTAGTGCTAACTTGAGTTGTCTAGCACTTCAGACAGAATAAGGCTTATGCGAGAGATACTTGCCTTTTATTTTTTCATAATCCATGTTTGATTTGAAATAATTCATCGTGGGTGAATGAATTATATGGAAATATTTTTAGGTTGTTGTATGCTAGATTTTAAGGTCAATGTGTTGTAATTATGAAAGGTGGTTATATAGACTTAGGGATGAGTGAATTTTGGCAAGGAGATATTTGATATGCTATGGCATGTGAAGCATGTCTCCTTAAAACCTAGATATCATAATGCATTTTATGTTCATCAGTTTCAGTGATTTTGATATTTATCAAAATTTCAGTATGGTATGGGTCTACTTTATTTATAAATTAATATTGGCCACTGTATATGGACATGTAATATGATATACTTTTGAACAAATATGGGTTTTTACCGAACAAAAATATAGCAAATTGTTTAGGATCATCAGAACAATATTGAACACAAAATATTAAATGATTTTAAGAGTGTTGAATTACCTTATATTACATACATTATGTAAATTTGTGACAATTTCCTGTAACTTCATCTCGTATTTGGAAGGGCATTCTCATTGTATACTGACATTAGCGTTGAAGCAAAGAATTTTCTTTCAGAGGAAACAGTAATGCTCTCACAGTAGCCATGCAGTGGAAAGGTTCACTTACAAAGGATATGGATTAAGTACACCAGTCAGTGTACTTATCCCATGGTCATATTTAACCCTCAGGTTTATATGAATGTTTGTAATTTAGAATGACCAGTTTTCATCTGAGAGTGCAATGCAAAAGATGGGCTGCGGTTGTTGCAAGCCATTCATTGATCCTAGCTTTGGATAGGCCATCTTAATTTCCCTTCGTAGGCTGTTTGATTGTTAAAGGTCTGTGAAGTGGCCGTTTTGATTCTTTCAGATGAAGGTAGATTTGTTATTAGATTATTTTGTTAATGCTTGTGCAAAATGTATTCTTTTTTGCAGTTCACTTTATTATTGAGAAATCTTCAAACCATGACTTTTTCACAGATGAAGCTATATTGATAAAGTTATAGTGTTGCTTTATTTTACATTGTTGGTAATTTTAAGGAAAGATTACAAAAGCTAGTCTTAGTTTTGAAACTGAATTATCTCAGAATTGCAGTATTTTCAGCCATGCTTTATTTATTGATTTTAGTACCAGAGCCAAAGTATGATGCATTCCCCCTCCTATATTGTAAAGTGTATGTGAACTATCTGTTATCATTGTCTTATCTTTCATTTTCTTTCTTGAGAAAGAGTTCAGTTCAGCCTGCTTCAGGAATTCCCACAGATACATCTCCACTGTATATATATATAAGTGTGTCAACTCCCATGGAAGCCATGATCATGGATAATTAACGACAGGTAGGCAGCCTAGTCTGTGTTGTCCAATGACAGGTGCTGCCAGACTCACAGACTGTCTCTTGGGTACTAGATGTCTGTGGCAAGAAAACTGTTTCCAACTCCTTCCAAAAACTATTTAAGCCTTCTTTGTTTATGTTGTACAAGATGCTGCCAGATGTATGTATGTTTCTCATATTAAAGAATGTTTAATATATATGTAATGTGTTTACTTTTCCCCCTTTTTTTATAGCACATTGCTAGGAATAATAACAGTATAAATTTCTTTTTAGACATGGTAAAGGACATTATTATTATGGTTGTTATTGTTATATTTATTATTCTTATAATGATAATAGTAATAATAATGATATTAATGTTAATAATATTTTATTATTATCATTGTTACTAAATTACTATAATTTTTATATTCATTATTGTGGTTGTTATTATTATATATCATTATCATTATTATTTTTTTTTATTACTATTGTTATTAATGTTGTTATTACTATTATTATTATTGTTATTATTATTTTATTTTTATTATTATTATTATTATTATTATTATTATTATATTATTATATTATTTATTATTATTATTATTATTGCTATTGTTATTATGATAATGATGATGATAATAATGATAATAATTATTATTGTTATTGTTACAATTATTATTATTACTACTATCATTGTTATTATTCTTATTCTTATTATTACTATTACTATTATAAGAGTAATGATGATAATTATTATTATTGTTGGTACTATTATCATCATTATTTTTATTGTTATTTTCATTACTATTATTATTATTGTTATTATTATTATTATTACTATTACTATTACTATTATTATTGTTATTATTATCATCATTATTATTATTATTATTATTATTATTATTATTATTATTATTATTATTTCCCCTCAATCTCGCTGATTGTTGTCAGTGGGGGGGCCATGAGCACAGTATTCCCTTGGTTAATCGCCTAGCCTTTACCCTTCTAGGGACCTGAGGGGGAGACGTTACTTTTCCAACTTATTTTCAGACTCACCATGGTCAATAATAAAAAAAATTTACCCTTAATAGGAGCTTTAAGGCTTGCTCCTTCATCAACTAGCCTATCTAAATTTGATTTTATTGGTTTCCTGACCCTTGTCCCTCCTTTGATGACCACAAATACTAATACTTCCTCCTCGATGTTTACTGACAACTCAGTCCATTCCGAATCACCCACCCAAGTCATTCCTCAACCTTCAGAATGCAACCCTTCCTTTCTCCCAACATTCTCCACTCCATTTCCTACTGCTGTCTACCTCATTGGCTACCCCCTCCACCCATCTTACTACTCTCCATCCTTTAGCCGTCCTCCCACAGTACTACCTTTTGAGGACTCTCCTTTGGTCCAGCCAAGTGGGATCAATTCTTTGATTCCCCTTCAACCCCTTACTATGACAATATTATTCTCCTAAACAATGTCTCCAAAAACAAGTAGGGCAAAATTTCCTTTCGCAGTCGTTCTAATCGTTCACCCTTTTCTCAGTCCAAGGTCGTGCATTA